CCCTCCTGCGTATCCCGCAGCTCCTGGAGCGCGCAGCCGCTCACCTTCAATAGCTGCAGCATGAAATCAACCGCCTCGCCGCGGTCCGTCTTTCTGCCATGTGTTATGAGGCCCCAGCCCCCTGGGAATGTGGCACTCCGTTCCGAGGTTGTTATTCTCTATATGTTTCTGCTGCTTGAGGTCCGTCTGCTTGGCGCGGAGCGCCGCGTGCCGAGTGGAAGGGGCAGGCGACGACGGACATATGCTTCGCTGGCTGGTAGGTCATGAGCGCGCGCCTCGGCGTCGCCGTCGCTCTCTGCCACCTCATCCCGAAGCCGCTGCCGCCCCCGCGGTAGAACGTGACCTCTCTTCACTGATGTTGTCGTCGGCAACGACCGCATCCTCCAGGGCGGTGGCCCAGGCCGCGCGCTCCCCCGCGATCGCCTCCTCTCAGAGGGACAGCTTGAGACCGCTCACGAGAAACCGAGGCCCTGGTGATTGCAGTTCGCTGCAAAACTGCGGCGGCATGGCCCTCTGCCTCGCGATGCCCCAGCGGCCGCCTTCCATCTGGTGCTGCGTCGCGGGCGAGTGCGATTGTTTATCCCCCTCCTCTGCGATGTCGAACTCCCCCTGAAGATGCCCAGGTCGAGTTTGCCGGCGTCTTTTCTTTGCGGCTGCTTTCCGCTTGCTACATTTAGATTCGGGGCATGGCTGCTTCTTGGGGAAATCGACCCGGGGAAAGGGGGCGAGGGGCGCCCTGCCCCCTGCGCTGCCAGGGCCTCGAGCCACTTCAAATCATCATAATGGGGCCCAGATGCGTTCGCCAAGGAACACGTGTCCCCCCAACGAGCTCAAACTCAGCGGGGTCATGTCGCACCCACGAGCAATCGATCAGACTGCCATTATTTGCCACTGCCACGTGACGTCTACGCTTGGCTCGGTCAACCTGCCGCCTAGCCTCTGAAAGAGGCCTGAAGCATCAAACGCGCCAGGAGGCATATTCCAATCGACTGCGAACGCTTTCAACTCGTCGAAGCCCGAGCCCATCATTCCTTCTTTGGGCAGGAGGTAGACACGACGATGCGGTTTTCCTACCTGTGGTGGAGGTTCATCGCCGAGAGGCCTCTGAACAGGCCCCTTTGCACCCGTCGCCATTATCGTCTTTGTCGTAGGTGGTGGTCGCTTGGTGGGCCTCTGCAATAACGGCCTCGCCCCAGCTGGTGCCTTCTTGCGAATGTCTTGTGGATGCTGCTGCTGCAGCCGCCTTCCAGCCATCCTTGGCCAGCTGCTGCTTGAACTTGCCCTCTCCCGGCTTCGAGGCGCGGGTCTCTCCGCAGGCGAAGACGTCCGCGAGGGTGTGGTTCTCGTTGATAAATGCGTGGGGTTCGTCGCCGCATGTGCTATACTGCTGTAGAATATCTTCGTGGAGCCGATGTCCTTCTTGCTGTAGTCTGGGGGGCCCAGCGCACTGCTAAAGCTGAGGTTCAGTAGGATCCCCAGCGCTGCTAGCAACCGAATCAGGCTTAAGCCCCTCCTTCTGTGGTTCGCCTTTGCCGTTGCCCTTCGCGTGGTTGGTGGCGTCGCATTTGATCTGGCGCACGGACTCCTTCATGAGCGCCTGCTCCTGCGGGCCCCGTTCAGCTACGGCGTCGGGCTTTGACGCCGGTGGTACTTGAGGTTCGTGGGCCTGGGTTTGCGGTTGAGCTGACTCCTCACTGCACACCTCCCAGTGTTTCTTCGCATGGCCCGCCTGGATATCCATCTCCTTGTTGCGGGCCTGCCTCGCGTGCTCCTGCAAGGCCTGCGCATCGGCTCTGAACGTGGCAAACTGGTACTTTTGCTTATCCTGCAGATCCTCGACGTCCTCGAAGAAAGCCTCGTCGAACGCGAAGCCCTCCCCATCCTTCTCCTGGTTGTGGGCGCTGTCCTCCAATGAGTAGTCAGCCAAAGCCAAGGTGTGCTCCGACTGCGCCTCATGGACCTCCAACGCCGCGTTGTCCATGTCCTCTTGGAGCTTCTGGGCGGTTCTCTGCGCCTCAAGGGTTTTCTTAATGATGCCGGTGGGCTTATTCGTAGCCCCGCTGACATTTTCGATGGCCTGCTTGAGGACCTTCTCTGTCGAGATGTCTTGCGGTGGTGGTCAATGGCGACAGGCTGCCTAAAGGCCTAGACGCACTCGGCCGAAGGCCGAGAAATGTACTATGGGGTTCAGGAGAAACCGCCCTAGAGCAGCCTCGTGGCCACCCTGGGGCGGCATCACCTTAGAGAAGCCCTGGAAGGGCAGCGCGCAGCCGAGGAGGTGACTGCAGCCACCGCACTTCCGGGCCCCGTCGTTGCGCGAGGGGGGGACGCCCCACAAGTCAGCGATAACGTCGTCGCGCTGATAGGACATGAAAGGGGCATGCCCTGCGGCGTCGGCGTGCTCTGACGGGCGATGGTGCCTTCGACTGCGGAGAGCTGATGCGCGAGGGTAGAGTTGCTGCCCAGCTTCTTGAGCGCCGTGTCAAGCTAGCTGCAGACAACCTCCGCGTAAGTGGCTGTGGGGTGCCTCCTCCATGGTAGAGATTCGCCCGAGTCGTGGATGCCGTAGGTATCGCTGTAGAGTACAACATGGGCGTCGCACTTCTTGCAGTACCCACTGTCGCGCTTTAGTTTCCAGTCGTAGGCCCGTAGGCCCAGTTGTTGCACCGCTGACAGCAAATCCAATGATGAGTTTGTTTCCTCGGCCACCCCACCTGTCATTGCTGCGCTGGGTGAGACAACGAAGGGAAGTGTTGCTTCAGCAGGAGCTCGCTGAAACACTTGGGTTTGGCCGCGGACTAGCGGTATCCATGCGAGCCCGCAGGGGATCTGAAAATCTGGAGCCAACATTGCTACGGACGGGAGGAGGAGGAACAGGACAAACAGAAAGACGAAAAGAGGAAGATCGTGGAGGAGCGCGAACGCCCTTATGTGCTGGTTGACAAGCTCCTGGTAGGAAACTCCACCGTGAATTGCGGCTGGCCCACAGATCTTTTGAGACACCGCACCTTTTTAATAATAATAATAATAATAATAATAACAATAATAATAATATACAAAAAAAAAACGCAGGCCGGCCGCACGCCCCGACTGCATCACACAGTCGGTGGTCGGGGCCGTTTGCACAGAAGGCAACCCCTGCCCCAGACAGCGCGACGGGCAGGACACCAAGGCACCCTTGATTTGGCAAGGTCGACCTGCTGCTCTGCACGGGGTGCAAGCAGCACGGCGGCCTACAAGTCCGCGCGACACTGGCGCTGACACTGCGCCCCCACGTCACGAGGGGCGGCCCTGCAAGGGGCGGGGCGGTGGCGCCTCGGCGCCGACAAGTATGTAAGACAACGCGCAAGCAGGGGAAAGGGAGGAGGAGGAGGAAAAGGAGGACGGGCCGGCGGGCAGGCTCACTCAGCTTGGATATGCTGTTGTCCCTGCACACAATGTTCCTCCATGTGAAACCATAAAATAATATCCGGCGCAATGGTTTGCCAATCCTCTCCAGAAGCCTTGTGAATGAATTTTGCAATGTCGTCGATCCACCTTTTGTTGGGTCGGCGTGGCAACCTCTTTGCACGCATATGGGTCGCGGTTGGATTCCATAGTATCGCCTTTCGGTTCCATTTGCCCACTTCGTCGTTGATAATGGACACAAACAGTCTCCATTGTAATCGCCGTTGCCGTGTGCACCAATCTTCATACCCCATTTAATGACAGTAGCCTTCAACATGTCTTATCGCGCGCTGTATCCAATTTATCCAGGGTGATGCTGTGCTTGTGCTACCCGTGCTCGCATGGGTGTGACTGGTGTCAGATTCGCTGTCTGCAGTGGTACCAGTTCCGTCGCAGTGTTGTTTCCCTCCTGCTGCTTCTGGTCCACAAGTCCGCTAGAGGAGGGGAAAAGGGAAACAGGAGGGGAGGAAAAGCTGCGACGGTGGATGCATCAGCCAAAATTCGCCACAGTACCGCGAAGCACTGAGTGGAGCGTCCTCAGGCCCAATGGGAGCCCATGCTCCCGAGTTCTAGGGGCTCCCAGGCGTGCTTGCGTTTTCCTGTGGCCTTGCGCGTATATTTGTTCGCAGCTTCCTCTTCTTCCTTCATACCGCTAGGACGAACACGAGGTCGAGGTCACGCCTATCCAGTTCAGACCAGTCGTCGGAATTGCGCTGTTCCTACACTCAGTCTCCTTCCTGCTGCGCTGTTGCACAGGCACGATGGCAGGGTCTGCTGCAGGCAGCTGGATACCCCAAGAAACATGCACAAGGACTCTAGCGTATAACCCTGGCACGGTGGCGGCATGGGCCGACGGCCGCTAGACAACTACAGAGAATGGGGGAGGGGTGCCAGGATGGGACAGGAAGAGCAGTGCACGTGGCTACGCTTAGCGGTCGCGCGGCCGCCAGCCAATTGGGGTGGAGGGAGGAGAGCGAAGAAGGAGGAGGGAGGCAAGGAGGAGGAGGAGGAGGAGGAGGAGCATGGGGGCGAACACGCCGCTGAGGCGCGGCCGGTGGCCGACCCGATGGCGGCGCAAGGGATGCGGCAAGCCGTGCCCGCGAATCAGAGAAGCATGCCCGCGAACCCGCCCTGGGTTCCCAGGCCGCGCCCGTGAATCCACCGTGGCACGGCACCGCGCCTGAGGCGTGCCCGCAAGGGATACCCAGGTTCTCGAGAAATGCAGCAGCGGCGTCACGGCGCCGCCGTTGACGGAGCAGGACTCGGGAGGCATTCCATGCCGGTGGCTGCTTCCGCGTGGGCGGACCAGGCGCCTTCTGCGGCCTGACGCAGTCTCCAGCGGCGTGCTTCTCCTGGGAGGGGGGCACTTGCACTTCCGGGAGGGCGGAGGCGAGATGGTGAGGGGAAGCGAGGAAGACGACGACGTCGACGACGACGTCGACGAAGACGACGAGAACGACGACGACGACGACGACGACGACGACGACGACGACGACGACGACGACGCGAGGACCCGGGAGGGCCGGCAGCGGGCGGAGCGCCAGGGACGCCGCCTCGCTCAGCTCGCGGGCCCCGGGGTAGAAGTCGTTGCGCAGGGCCCTGGGGGCCGCGGGGGGAGGCGGCAGCGGGGGGGCAAGGGGGCGAGCGCCCGGAGGGAGCGAGCCGCCAGGTGCGGACAAGGGCCTAGGCCTCGTGAGGCCAGGCGGGTGAGGCCTCAGCCTCGAGATGCTGCAGTGCGTGTCGCGGGGGGAGCGGCAGCGGGGGCAAGGGACGAACGCCCGAAGGAGCGAACCGCCAGTGCGGACAAGGGCCCGGGCCTCGTGAGACCAGGTGGGTGAGGCCAGCCTCGAGATGCTGTAGTGTGCGTGTGCGTGTGTGTGTGTGTGTGTGCTGAGACATGCACGCGAGGCATCGAACAAGTCCTGCAGGCCAGGGAGAGCACAAGGGGGTCTGTTTTGCGGCGGTCTGCGCGCCGTCTGGAGGAAAGACCCTCCTCCCGAGAGCCCAGGGGGCTGCTCTACAGTCGGGGTTGATTGGAGAGGACACGCGAGAGGTCACAGGACCCTTCCGAGGGCCACATTGCCATAGGAATGCAAAACGCATGGGTCCCGAAACGCAGGACGCAAGCGTACCCTGGATTTGGCAGGGCCCACCTACTAATCAACCCCGGCTCGAGTTCAGGGCGCCACCCTCCCCAGCAGAGGGAGGCCACACACTGAGTCGCAGGCGGCACAAAGCGCACAGAAAGGAGAGGGCGGCGGGACGCGCGAAGCGCCATGACACGACAGCGCGGCAACAGGGAAACTCGGCAGTCGGCCTGGACAGGGGGGGGAGGGGGGAAAGCGGGGCGAGGAGGGCGCTCGCGCCAGATCTGACATCCTGCCCCTCCCACTCATCCCTCCCCGTTGCGCTGTTTGTTCCTCTGCCCGCCGACGCGTGCCATGGCGAACCTGGAGCTCCAAGAAGGACCGCATCGTGTTATGCTCGATCGGGAAGACCAAAAGGGGGCTGCGTACATTGGAGCAGGAGGTGGCGGATGAGCAGTAGGATGAGCATGAGGAAAAGAGGGCGGACAAGGAAGGAGGAAGATGAGGAGGAGGAGGAGGAAGAGGAGGACGAACAGGAGCAGCAGGAGCTGGAGCGGAAGGGGCGGGAGGAGCAGGAGGACCAGAGGAAGGCGGAGGACTCGGATCCCGAAAAAGGGGCCCGCAATGGGCCGGAGCCCCGTTCTGAACGACGGAAGCGAAGCGCTGATCTAAAATGAGGCCCATGGTGCAGCGAGAGCACCGTCTTGAAACACCGGGAACGTCGTGAGTTGAGCATGCCTTCGGAAAGACCTCCTGCATGTAAAAAAACACCCTACGCGGAGAGGGCAACACATCGTCGGCACAGAGTCGGAGGAGATTGGAGAGTAGTATTCAGAGTCAGTACTTGTGGAGGCAGAAGGGGGACGGAGGGGGGAAGGAAGGGGGAGGGGGGGAAGGGGGGGAGGGGGGGAGAGGGGGAGGGAGGGAGGGAGGGCGTGAGGGAGGGAGGAGGGGATGGAGAGGGGAAGAAGAGGGAGGAGGGCGAGGAGGCGCCAAGGCAGGGCCGGGTCGGGCACGGCGAGACCATCGGGAGCTGGCCTGGGCGGTTGCAGAGCAGGCTAGGCCCTGGTGGGAGGAGGAGGAGGAAAGAGGAGAAGGAGGAGGAGGAAAGAGGAGGAGGAGGAGGAGGAGGAGGAGGAGGAGCAGGAGCACCTCATGATTTCGACCCCGCGTTCAACGATGCCTTCACTTCCACGCATCGAGGGGCTGGTGGCGGGGGCTGGGGAGACTTTGGCTCTGGCCTCCACCGCCTGAGTTGTTCGGTGTGCTCGACAAGGGACTTGCGGGACACCGCCCATGCAATAATGCTCCCCCTGCGTCCCCACACATTCCTTACTGTCACATGGACCACTGAAGATGCTGTTGCTTCCTATGTAAAATTCTCGAGCTCACGAACGCTCCATGCTTCGCCCTGTCCCTGTCACTTCGACCACGCCCTGCACGTGTCCTGAGTCGTGTGTCCTGGCTTCCCCACCATCGCGCTGCGAAGGTTCCGGGACCCAGGCAGCCCTTAGGCTTAGAGCGAAGCTTGTGCTCAACAGCTGTAAAGAGAAGCGTGTCCTCCTCAGGAGCAGGCTTCCTAGTACTGTGTGTTTCCTCCACCTTCCCAAGCCCTTGAGTGGCACGGTCTTGGGGAGCTTCGTGGTGCCTCACAACCTTCCCCCAGGCTAGTGCCATTGGTTGCACCATATTTGGACGCCCGAGGTGGGTACGGAAAAGATGGGTACACTGTCCAACAACAAATGTTGCCCCAAACCAACAGCGGCCGCTGTTGGGCAGGCGGCATTCTGTCTCAAAGGGAGACAGGCCGCGGCGACACCGACAGCGAGTCCTGTTCAAAATGAGCAGGAACTGCTGTTGGGCATTGTGCCCAGTCTTTCCGTACCAATTTCGTTCGCGCAGACCATAGGCTGCGCGCTCGGCTGGCTGAGAGCGGACTGCGCATTGGTTGCGCCAAAGGTTGCGCGCTCGGCCGAGACCAAAATGCCTGCTCTTGCGCGCTCGGCCGCCGAAGATAAAACAGCCTCGCTGTGTTCGTATGCGGAGGCCGAAAATAGAACAGCCGCCCAACGGGTCCAGTCAGTCCAGTCAGTCTGGCTTTCTGTTTGACGCCGGATACCAGGCTGGCTACCATGCAGTGAAGCTCCCCAATAGTCCCGGAAGGCACATACCAAAAAACCACAAAGGGCATATGATTATCATCACAACGCTTCTTAACGACGCGAATGAAATCATCAGGAGTGAGCGACCGTGAAGTTGTTGGAGGGAGTGCTGATCATCTGATCAACCTTTTGACTCATGAACACACATTGCGGGCATGAGTCGAGACTAGGTGAGAGGATAGAAGTTGAGAGCGTGTCCTTTTGTTCGACAAACTCACTCAACGAACTAGCTCCAACATAAGATGGCGTGCCCAATGAAATATATCAGTTGCTCCATTCACAGTCCCAATCACCTGGAATCTGTCAGTGTGGCTCCAAAGCCATGGAGCATGGTTCCATGGTAAATCGCTGCCCGTAAAAATGTCAATAGGCCATTGGGACCAGTAAATTGTGGGTACTCTAAACGGTGCGGCTGCTGATCGACAACAGTAACAATGTGACCCAAATGCTCCATTGCCCGCACAGCCACCCGCTTTGCGACATGATGAACATTTACCCCAAGCGTACCGATTGTAATTCGGTTCTCAGACATCGGAGGCGTCCCGCCACCAACACCACAACCGATCAATGCGAACGCACATGCAAATGCGAGGACCGAGAGGAATACACGGCTCATGATGCACATGCTGAAAAAGAAACGCGAAGACTCAACTACTAGGTGGCGCCTAGCAAACTCAAGTGTCCCGTGCCCGAACCTGCACCAAACTGGAGTCCAGTCAATCCGGTTTACCTCGCGAGAAGCACATTCGGGCTACGCCCGCAAACATGTCCCGCACTCTTATTACATTGTAGTCGTCGTCAGAGCGCAAGTGAGCCCCAGGACGGCCCCGAGACGGCCAACCAGCCCCAAGACAGCCCCCAAACGGGCCAAGACGGGCCCAAGGCGGTTCCGGTAGGGCCCCGGTGGAGGGTAGAGAGGGAGCGCGAGAAGCACCTGTCATGGACGCGGCGTTTTGGAGGGCCCCGTGGATATGGGGGTCATGGGCCCCCCTGCGGCGTACGACAGGCCCAGACGATCTCACAGGAAGCCACGGGCGGCCGCCAGGGCAGTCCACGAGGCCTCCGGGAGGGCTCGAGGACAGCACGAGAGGCCCAGGAGGGACGCCCCAGGCAGCAGGATCGAAGCGCTCGACATGCCATTGCGCTTTTGACTTCCGTCTCCCTGTCGGCAAAAGGGAGCCTCACTGGAGCCAGGGAGCTTCCTCCCAAGATGACCCAATCGTGTGCCGAGACCTTCCCAAGACCCAGGACGTCCCACGACCCAGGGTCACCCTGTGGGCCAAAGACGGCCCAAGAGGGCCACAAGGCAGCCCCCAGACACGGTGCCGCACTGTGGGCGGCTGCGAGCGCCTCGTGGGCGCCTCGTGCGCTGTCTGGGCCTGCGCCTGCTTCGCCTGGTGGGCGCCCCGTGCGCTGGCTGGGCGTGGCGAGGCTCCGCCCGGCGTGCGGCCGGGGGCGCCTCCTGGGCGCCCCGCGCTGCTTGCACTGCGCTGCTTGCACCGCATGGCTTACACCGCTCTGTTCACACCTCAGGCCGTACTCCGCACAGCTTGGGCCACGCCGCCCTCCACCACGTAGGTCGCACCACACAGCAGGGCTGAACCCCAATGGTGTTTTTCGTTTTCGTTTTGTTTTCGTTTGCCTTCGTGCTTGCTTGCTTGTTTCCTTGCTTGTGCCGTTTTTGTGCACGCAGTCTCTTGCTTGCTTGCTTGCTTGCTTTCCTTCGTTTTGTCCTCCATCCGCTTCACCGAAACACGAAGTCGAAACGAAAACGGCCCACCGAAAGCGCAAAAACAACGTTTGGGTCTAGCCCCGCCACATAGCTTGCGCCTCACCCAGCTCGCACCACGCCCGGCCTGCACCACGCCGATTCCACCGCACGGCTTGGGAAAGGAAAAGAAGGAGGAGGCGGAGGCGGAGGCGGAGGCGGAGGCGGAGGCGGAGGCGGAGGAGGAGGAGGAGGAGGAGGAGGAGGACGAGGAGGAGGAGGGGGAGGAGGAGGAGGAGGAGGAGGACGAGGAGAAGGAGGAGGAGGAGGAGGACGAGGAGGAGTGCGGCGTAGGCGCACGCGGGCCTGCCGAGGCCTCGCCCAGTGGACGGCCGGCGGCCGGTCGTGGGCACCCCGTGGGCGCCCCCGTGCGCCGGCTGGGCGCCCGCCGAGGGTTGCCATTCTGTGGGCGGCCGTGGGCGCCTCGTGCTGCTTTGAAGCCACGTGGACTGCAGCAGATCGCTTGCGCCCTTCCTGCTCGCACCACATCGCCTGGTTACTCGCTATCGTCTTCGTCTTCGTCTTCGTCGCCGGACCGCCCGAACTACAATTATTTTCCGCTATTGTCGGGTGGGGTCGTTTTTCCGAGTTGTCAACAAATTCGCCACATACAGTCGGGGCGTTGACCTAAGGAACCCAAAGTAAGGAACGAGGCCCCTCTTTTCCACAAGTCGAACTTCGATCTCCTGTCGAAGACCCAGGGAAAATCCAAGGCAAGCTGCGAAGCACTTAATCAACATGGAGCCCCTCCCCAACGAAAAGGGTTCCTTCTTCAGGGCCCCAACTGTAGCCTGCATCGCATCGCCTGCACCACTCAGCCTGTCCCACCCTTCCCACAGCTGGCACCGCGAAGCTGGCACGACACACAGCTCGTTATCGTCTTCGTCTTCGTCTTAGTCGTCGGACCGCCCGAACTATAATTATTTTCCGCTATTGTCGGGTGGGGTCGTTTTTCCGAGCTGTCGATAAATTCGCCCGAAAGATATTTATTGTCCATCTACTGGCCAGGGGATTTCTAAAGACTTAACTGGGTTAGCCTGCATCGCATCGCCTGCACCACTTGGCCTTTCCCCACCCTTCCCACAGCTGACACCACGAAGCTGGCACGACACACAGCTCGTACCGCATGGCCTGCACCCCTTGCTTACACTGCATGGCTTGATTCTCTTTTCTAAAAAGAGAAGGGACTCTACCCCCCGCCCCCGGACTTAACGCTTCCCCCTGGGATAAAATACTTTCACACACATATACATATATATATATATATAATTATATATATCTGCACACTCGTCCATCCTAAATATGAAATCATACCATCCCAGGCAGGCCGGTTTCCCCCCCCCCTGAGGGTCCCTTGTAAAAACACTATGCGGTGACATTTTTGGTTCTAACATAACACTTGTTCACGAATCCCTTGCAACAAATGAGACGAAGTGCACACGCGCGCGTCGTCGCGCGCGCATGCCGAAATCCTTGAAAAACCTTCGGTGCCGGAAGGATTTCGCAATCGAGTTTCCAAAGAACATACAACAACACATGGTTTCGCAACACTGATTTGCTAAAAAAGCTTCCGCGCGAGCTCTTGCGAAATCTTAAGAAAACCATAGGTTTTTCAAGATTTTCACAAAATGCTACCAAACGGGCTTCGCGCGCGCATGTCGAAATCTGTCGAACGCCCTTGCGCGTGTGCCGTCGCGAGAACCCTCTGCAAAAAATGTGACGAAGTGCAGACGCGCGCGTGGTCGCGCGCGTACGCCGAAATCCCTCAAAACCCATCGGTTTCGGAAGGATTTCGAAATCGCGCGTCCAAAAAACATTAAAAACACAAGGTTTCGCAACACGGATTTTCAACAAAAGCGTGCGCGCGCGCTCTTGCGTCGTCGTCGTCGTCGCCGTCCTCCCTCCTCCCGCGTCGTCGTCGTCGTCGCCTACGTCGTCCTCTGTCTTTCCTCGTGTTCGTCGTCGTCGTCCTCTTTGGCGTCGTGGTCGTTTCCGTCGTCGTTGTCGCCGTGGTCGTCCTTCCTCCTCCTCCCTCGTCGTCGTCGTCGTCCGTCGTCGGCGTCTCGTCGTCGTCCCTCCTATTTCGTCGCCGTCGTCGTCGTCGTCGTTGTCGTCGTCGTCGTCTTCCCTCCTCCCTCGTCGTTGCCGTCGTCGGCGTCGCCGTCCTTCATCCTTCTTCGTCGTTCGCGTCGTCGCCGTCCTCCCTCCTCCCTCGTCGTTGTCGTCGTTGTCGCCGTTGTCGCCGTCGTCGTCCTCCCTCCTCCCTCGTCGTCGTCTTCGTTGGCGACGTCGTCGTCGTCTTCGTCGTCGTCATCGGCGTCGGCGTCGTCGTCGTCTTCGTCGTGGTTGTCGGCGACGTGGTCGTCGCCGCCGTCGTCGTCGTCGTCGTCGTCGTCGTCGGCGTTGTTGACGTCGTCGTCGTCGTCGTCGTCGGCGTCGTCGTTGTCGTCGTCGTCGGCGTCGTCATCGTCGTCGTCGTTGTCATCGTCGTCGTCGTCGGCGTCGGCGTCGTCGTCGTCGTCGGTGTCGTCGTCGTCGTCGTCGTCGTTGTCGGCGTCGTCGAAGTCGTTGGAGACGTCATCGGTGTCGTCGTAGTCGTTGTCGGCGGCGTCGTCGTCGTCGTTGTCGATGTCGTCGTCGGCGTCGCTGTCGTTGGCAAATGCCATTTGGTACCCACCGTCACGGTCTTAAGAGATTTTGCGAACCAAGTTGCGGGTGGGTGGGTGGGATGTTTGCGCGAGCAGTGGAGTGGTCAAGCGCGGTGCAGGGTAGTCAATCCACACATAGGTTGCACCGCATTGCTTGCACCACACTTCTCACACCACATAGCTCACGCACCCAGGGTGCAAAAACTCCTGATTTGGGGTCCACGCTGTAATACCTGAACATAACGAGTGGCGCTCTACGTAATGTTCGCATGCGTGGCCTCGTATCTCCCCATCTTGTGCCAAACTGATTCACTCGTCCAACACACATAGACTTGCGAACAGCACGGCGCTCCCTTTAATCCCATTGGGCGTGATGCCTGCTGCCGTCTCCGATCGCCAGGTAGCTGAGGCCACCGCAGCGAGCTTTGGCCCACTGCCTCACACATTGGCATCACCGACGGAAGGAAGACGTATCAATGTTAAGACAGCACATACGTCGGCGGTGAGCGGGGGGGAAAGTGAGAAGTATAAGGCCTTCTCAAAAGGCGGCGGGACTTCTCAGCAGTCCTCGCGCCTCCTGAGAAGTTTCCTGCGTCTTCGGGGAAGGCTTAGAAAACTTCTCAGGAGGCTGGGGAACTTCCGAGCCTTCTGCGAAGGCCCGCCCCTTCTCACTTCTCCCCCTCGCTCGCCGCCGAACATGAGGCCAAGGGGGCAGGATCAGAGAGGTAGAAGGAGGAGGGGAAGAAGGCGGCGGGAGGAGGAGGACGGGGACCAGGAGGAGAAATGGCAACCCCTCTCGCACAAGTAGCGAGAGGGGAAGCAGGAGGCCGAGGAGAGAACCGGCTCGTGCCAGTGGGAGAAGCAGGATGAGGAGGGAAACGACGAGGTGGAGGAGGGGGAGGAGGAGCGCGAAGAGCACGAGGAGAATGGCCACGACGGGGGGGAGAGGCGGAGGGCGCGAGACCAGAGGGAGGCGCCCCAGTGGAAGCGCCACTGAACCTCGAGGCAGACCAGCAAGGGAAGCGCAATCCGACCAGGAGAAGGGGGCCGTAAATCACGGAGCCTGTCAGAGCCTTCTGTTTGTTTTGGACGTGGGTCAGAATCCAGCGCCGACTCCCGTGCACTCACTCACGGCGACGAGGTGGGGACCGAACGAGGGTGCCCGAACAGCGAACGAAAGCGAAGGGGGCAGGGACAGACAGCCACGCCGGCGGGACCACGGCCGAAGGGGGAACCGAGGCCCCTAAACCACGCAGGGGCACGGCTTACCAAGCTGCCTGTGCGCCAGCCAGGACTGGATGCCCGGAACTGGGGATCACGATCGAGAGTCAAAGGCAATCGCGTCGAGTCAACACGATGCCCTCACACAGTACACTTCAACACCGGAATACGGATGCAACGGAAGGTCGCAGGAATCTTGGGCGGTCATGTTGCAACAACTGCGGCGACGGTAAGCCACGCCATGGTCTAACGGACAATAGCGCGAGCCAGCCTTGATGAAGCACAGCATCCTCATTACTGTGTTTGCCTGTACGCCATGAAGGCCGATCAACCTGGCACAATCCTGACTTTGATATCGTCATCTTCGTACCCGAATGCGTGCTGGGACCACATTATGGGTAGTCATATGGTGCTGCGCTTGGCTTGACGAATATGTGGGGTGCTGGCGGGTGATGGAGCACACTTCGAATTCCAACCGAGATCGGGGAACAAGCACGTCGGAAAGGCAGGGCCGGGGCCAGCTCATAACGACGTGCTAAAGAGCAGCCGAGTGAAAGCTCGGGTCAGACTGAAGCCACGCTGTCGGGCAAGTCGTCGGCGGAGCCAGAGGAGCACCGCATGCTCATTGACGTCAATCAAAGATCGACGGCGAGCGAGGTGGGTATATGAGAAGGAGAAGGCCTTCTCAAAGGCGGCGGGGCTTCTCAGCAGTCCTCGCGCCTGCTGAAAAGTGTTCTGTGTCTTCGGGGAAGGCTTAGAACACTTCTCAGGAGGCCGGGGGACTTCCGAGCCTCCTGAGAAGGCCCGCCCCTTCTCACTTCCCCCCCTGGCTCGCCGCCGAAAAGAGACAGAGGCAGCCGAATGCAAGCACAGACCTGCGATGCGGCAGGATAGAAGGCGCGGGGGGGGGGGGGGGGCGACGAGGAAAACTAGGAGGGAACGCAAGCCGCAGACAGCGAAACCATGGAAATGTGCGGCGCCAGATCCATACTCAAGGCACGTCTGACGGAGGCACACCGAAGGCAAGACCTGCAGGAACTTCTGGTGGGGGGAGCTTGCCCGCCTGCCCCCTCCTGCTCCTGATCCTGGTCCCTCCTCCTCATCGTTTTCCCAACCCTCCTTGGTTGGGTATTCGTTTTTCCAAGCCCTCCTTGTTTGGGTATTCGTTTTGAATAGAGCACTGTGGTCGCGTCCCTTCTCCCGCCTTCCGCCTCCTCCTGCCCTCTCTTCGCCGACGATGGGGGCTGCGATTTGCGAAACTGTCGCCACTTTCGAGGGCTGCTGCTGGGTCCTGCGGAGTGAGGCACAGCGCGGACCTGAGCGGGACCTCGCCGTCCCTGGAGGGCTGCGATCTGCGAAACTGTCGCCACTTTCGAGGGCTGCTGGTGGGTCCTGCGGGGTGAGGCACCGCGCGAGGAAGCCCCCGAAGGCCCCCAGAAGGCGCCCAGGAGGCCCCCAGAAGGCCCCAATAAATTATTAAAAACATTCGTGAGGCCCCTAAAGGGCTCTCCAAGGAGGAGCCTCTGCAAAAAGAGCTGAGGAGGATGGGGAAGAATTGAAAAGTATGGTCCCCAAAGGCAAGAATCACTTGGGTGTTTGACGCAGTCTCGCCTTTGCGGCTTCCCGACGCTCAAAGACGGCCCAAGAGGCCTCCTGGAGGGCCTCCTGGAGGGCCCAAGAGGGCTCAAGAGGCCTCCAACAACGGGCCAAGAGGCCCCGATGACGCCTCCGAGGGGGAGCCCAGACGGGTGAGCCGAACGGACATGTCGAGCCCTCGGCCCCAAGAAGCCCCCAGGAGGCTCGAAGGGGCCCCCCAAAAGGCACCCGAGAGGCCCCGAGGCCGCCAAGAGGCCCCCAGGAAGCTCCGAGAGACCCCACAGATGCTCCCAAGAGCTTCCCAAGACGCTGCCAAGAGTCACCAGAACTGCCCTCCAGGAGCCCCCGAGGGCGCTCCGAAGAGATCCCCAAACAACATCCCTGAGGACATTGACCCACAACCTAGCCATGTCGGTGAGCAATAGAGGCCAGAACCCCCACGACAAGCTCCAAAACAACTACTTTAAATCCATACCTGCTGACGCCATGCCTCCAAGAAAAAGACCACCGCCAAGCAGCGCCGCATGGGCCACGAACGCGCTGGTAGGCGCCAGCGATGGCAAACTACGGGCTGGCGGAATGAGCGAAGCGATTCCATAAAATGATTACAACGACGACGTCAGAAAAGGCAACACGGAATTATCGTAAAACTTCCTGGTTTACCTTGCTCTCCTTCGACCTGCATGCCAAACTTGAACGACCAAGATGCATGGCGCGAAGCGCCGAAGCCGTCTTGTATATTATATAGGTACACTTGCAAACACTTACGTACACACATACAGAGAGAGAGAGAGACAGAGAGAGAGGTCAGGGGGAGGGACGGAGGGATGCAGGAAAGGGGGAGGGAAACAGAAAGAGGGAGAAACCGAGAGAGAGAGAGAGAGAGCGCGAGAGAGGGAGAGAGCCGGGAGGTGGAGAGGGGGGGGCGGAAAGAGAGATAGAGATAAAGGTATGGATAAGTTGCAGGGTATGTACATATGTACAAATCTACATAAAGAGAGAGAGAGAGAGAGAAAACAAGAAAACTAGACAGAGAGAGAAAGAGAGAAACAACAAAAAGCGGTGCTAGCGCCTCTCAATAAATTCGATTGGCTTTTCGGACTGGCCATCCATCACAATACTCGGGAAGCGCTTGACAACGCCACCCGGAATGTTGTCGAAGACGTCCGCAGCACTGTCCAACGCCTTTCAGACAAGGGCATTGCGATCGGCCGGCCTACATACATTGCTCCCCATCCGGCAAGGCGCTCCCAGAACTCTCACGCACGTCGAGGCAACGAGCACGCGAGATCAGGCTATAGCACGAAGCGGCGACCTCGGCGCCACCTTCACTCGGCGGCGCGCACAGGGGGGAACTGAGAGGGGGCAAGCCTTCTCTGACGACGGCGGGGCTTCTCGTACAGTCAGGGCGTTGACCTAAGGAACCCTAAATAAGGAACGAGGCCCCTTTTTCCATAAGTTCAGCTTCGATTGCCTATCGAGAACATAGGAAAACCCGAGGCAAGCTGTGAAACACTTAAGGAACGCGGAGCCCCTCCCCAACGAAAAGGGTTCCTTCTTCAAGGCCCCGACTGTAAGCCCGCTGGCCTTCTAAGAAACCGCCCCCGTCATCTGTTGGGGGTCCCAACACCGTGTGGTGACGGACCGTGCGGTGACCTCGGAACCCCAAGAGACCTCACCACACGGTCCGTCACCAAACGGTCTTTGGACCCTGGAAGCCCCTGTCGTCCGAGATATCCTCGGAGAACGACCCAAGTCCCAAAACCGTGCGGTGACCCCCAAATCCCCACCGACTCACAACACGGTGTGATCACCATCCCGTTTGGGGACCCCCGAATCTGAGCAGGCTCGGAACACTTCTCGGACACCTGGAGGCCTTTCCGAGCCCAGCGGGAAGGCCCGCCGCCTCTGCATCCACCCTACGGCTCGCCGCCGATTCGCTCTCGCAGACCGCGTCCGCCCCTGCCCTCCGCCTTCTCCACGCCCCCCGTTCCTCCCCCCCTCCGTTCATCCATCCCGGGAGGAGGAGGAGGAGGAGGAGGAGGAGGAGGAGGAGGAGGACGAGGAGGACGAGGAGGAAGGAGGAGGAGGAGGAGGAGGAGGAGGAGGAGAAGAACGAGGAGGAGGAGGAGGAGGACGAGGAGGACGAGGAGGAGGAGGAGGAATCTCTTCCGCCGCCTAGGACGCCTGCCCCAAGGAAGCTGGACAGCTTACACCCTTATGGTGGCGCGTCGGTGTATGCGTAGACTTTCCAGCCGCCGTGGGGCAGGCGTCCGCGACGGCGGAAAAGATGATCGAGGAGACACTCGGCAAGAATTCGCACCCACTGTTGGCGTTCGCAGGGACGGCTGGCAGGTCCCGCCCCTGCTGTTGTGTGTGACTGTTTTTGTTTGCTATTTGGGGGTGAGGCCACGGACGCGATGAGGAGGAGGAGCAGCAGGATGAGGAGCAGGAAAAGGAGCAGGAGGAGGAGGAGGAGCAAGAGGAGGAGGAGGAGGAGGAGGAGGAGGAGGAGGAGGATGAGGAGGTGTATGAGGAGGAGAAGGAGGAGAAGGAGCTCGCTCTCGCCCATTCAGTTCATCTCCTGACCTACAACTTTTAATCTTCGGAAACCTGGGGGATATCGTCTACATGCGATCGCCCCTCGACTTGCAAAACTCGAAACTGAAGACGGTGCGGCCCAGCTAGGCTGGCATATTACCGACTGAGGGACGTCGCCGCACGGGAGACTGGCCAGGGCCGCTGTGGGCCGTAGGACTTTCCTGGGCCGTGGGAAAGCCAAATCACAGAACTGCGCGCAGCGCACTGGAAGACAAAATGTTGCCAGATGGAGGCGGTTCAGATGCACAGCGCGCTGTAAGACAAAATGTTGCCAAATGGAGGCGGTTCAGAGGGGCCAGCAACCTCGAAATTAACGGGTGAGTCGCCCAGCGCTGCGAGATCGGAGCTACGGCCAGCTAAGCGGACGATCGCCCTGGGCTTACACGCACTGAGCGCTTCACCCGCCAGGTCACAATCACACACTGCTCGACTTGCGCTTCGGCATGATTTGCCTAACTAGATTGCCTTCCGGGGCCTTGCTCACTGTGATATTCCCTCCCGCGTGCCTCACAATCTCTCCTATCGTGGCCTCTATCTGGATGATTCTCCCCTTGATCAGCAGAGCGGCTGCCGTGATCTCCAGAGGCGTTTCCACGTGGAGGGCGTGGCAGGGGTCGTCGATAGCTCGCAGCATTGCCTCCTGATCCTCTTTGCTGTGTGGCATCAGTGCCTGCCCGAGGAACTTGAATATAAATCTGCTCTTCTGAGGCTGGCCTCGTTTGCCGAAAACCATCTTCAAACGCCTGTCCGAAGTGTCCTTGGAGGGCCAGGTAACCAAGACGAGCAGAATTGAGTAGGCCGCTTGTGCTGCTGGCGAGCCTAAGTCTACCTTCGGGCCCCCTTTGCGTTGCTTCACGAACTCCAGGTGCGGCTTGTTGCAGTCCGTGACGATCTGGTGTTTGCGGTCCAGCATCGCGGTCGACCTGGACTCGTGTTCCAGCAGGCGCGCTCTGTCTGTCCTCTAGCTGGACTATGGGCGCGCGCACGCGGCCCATCATGTTCTCGTCGTCATCGTCGGAGTCCCGCACCTGCTCGACGTTGCCCTTGGGCTTCTTCTTCTTGGCTCCCGCGACTGCGACGTTCTTCGATCTCTCTCTCTCTCTCTCTCCCTCTCACGAGCCAGCCTTTCTCCTCCTCCTCCATGGGGGCGTTTGAAATACTGGCGGCCGCCGCAGCTGCCATGCTTGGGCCCGTGCAATCGGGGGACCAGTTCTGGATGTGAAGCTTCTTCCAAGAGCACTCTGTAGCCGGCAGTCGGCCTCGAGCACCAGGCGCGAACTGCCCCCTGGCCCCCCGGATATAGAAGCGCGGTTCCAGAAGAGGTTCAAGATGTGGCCCCGCGCGCTTGGGCCAGGGCTCTAATGCCGCAAACTCTTCGAACAGATCTGGCAGGTCATGTCGTTCGGCGTGTCGAACTTGTTCTCGCATCGCCCTCGGTTCGCTGGACAGCACCAGCGTCGAGGACTAGTCGCGGCGTGCTGTTTGGCAACGTGTCTGTCCCGAAATAGGCCATGGCATAAAACGCAGCAGTTCGTAATCGTCATGATTCTGCTGATGTCGAGCTTCCGCGAGTGCCCCCTAAGGTGTTGGCGATGCGTTTGATGAGCGAATGCTTCGCGGGCCATCGTGCACTAGCTGTCCTTCCGTCCTCCAGCTGCCCCGCGCATGTGAACTCCCCATCCTGGCTCTTCCTGGGGTTGGTGTGCGGCGTCGGTTCGCAGGGAAAGGAACTTCGCTCGGAGCTCGTCGCAGTCGATCCTTTCGAAGTCGCTCGTATCCCCGAACAGGATGCGGCGAAGTGACCCCGCCCCATCTCCCACGTGATTTCTCCGTCTTCGAGAGCTTCGAGAGCCAATATGTCTTGCTCAAGCTGACGGGCCCACGGGCGCGCGTCAGCATGTATAGCTCCGTTCCCATCAAAAACTGCGCCACCAACGTGCGACATACCGGAGCACGTTGACAAGAACTGCAAATTGTTGTCGCGCTCCTGCACCATTCCTTGCAGCCGTTTCAATCTGCGAATTCTCAACAAAATGCGTAGCGGGGCAACTCTGGATCTCCGAAGGATCTCTGCGGCAGGGGCATTGACAACATGGTCTGCATCCGCGCTCCAATCTGCGGCGCCCCCAAGCATTGCGCAGCGTTTGCGCGCGACGAAGGCCTCAAGATCAGACAGGTCGCTGCAGGTGAGCGGCCCGCTGCCTTTGACAATGACCTCTAGTCCGCTGGGCGCGGCGTTGACTGGGGGCCCCTTCAGCATCGAGCGCTTCGCAGAGAACATGACGCCCCTGGTGGCCCAGCAGGTGCCCATGGAAAAATACGCTGCCAAGACTGCGCGGAAGCGCTTCATCAGAACGGGTTGTGCTGTGAACGTGCTCGCTTGAAGACCCGCTAGATAACGAACATGACGTAATGTCGAGCCTGCTATGCTGGTGTGCTTCTTGTGGGTGGCTGGCTCGCTACGTGCGTTCCTTCTCCTCGTATGTATGCTACGTTTTCCTGTTGGCCGACGTACTGCGTGGCTCCTGCGATGTTCGTGCATGCGTATTTTGCGTGCGTGTGTGCTTTTTATCCACCTTGTTGCCTTGCTCTAGCTTGTCTATGATGTTGCCCGCTGCGTTGGCCTCTAGGATCTTGTTAGCTAGGTCGCCCACGAAGCCCGTCGGGGCCATATGCTGGGCGAGGTCCTCATCTGTGTCCCAGAAGACGTCTACCTACGGCCAACTACCAGTTCTCTAGCATTTATTTATAGGTCCGCCACCGCTTTCATGACAGGCTGGCTGAACGTTCTGGCGAAGATGAGCGTTGTGCCTACATCTCCTGGGAAGACTCCACCTGGCGGTCACATCCAGAACGCCCCAGACTCACCCTCCAACCGGAAAATCCCTCGGGCCGCGCGGTCCTCGGGCAGCTGTATGTCACCATTCGAATGCAAACTGGGGCGAACCTGAATCACCTCGTAGTGTTTCACACTGTAGAACGCGTTCGTGGCGCCGCGGCATCTAGCGAGATGCGAAATGCCTGCCGCTTGGGGTCCATGCGAAGAGATGAGTTGCACCCCCGTCGCAGATTCACGCGCGCGGCGCCTAAGCCCGCCGCGCACCCGGTCCTCTGGCGCCCGAGGCCCGCGCTTCCTGCGGAGCGCGGCAGCGTGGCAAGTGCGACCAACTGGACGCATTATCATAATGATCTGCTCCCCGTCGACGTCGACGTTGCGGTTGCCCTTGGGGGGCCGCGCCGCCTGGGCGGCGCGCCGCGCGGCAGGCGCGCGATTGTGCTTTCTGGCCACGAAGAGGACCGCTCGCAAGAGCCCTCGCATTACTCGGGCTGGTTCAATCTCATGATTTGGAGAAACAAAGGAAGAACAACAAACACACACACACACACGCACACACACTGCGCGCCTCGGTCCTGGCCGGCGTTCATGAACCCATTTCGGAGACAAGATCAATCGCGGGGTTTCAGCGGGGATGCTCCAGGCCGGGCAACTTCGCCACAACTTCACTATCCACGCATATTTCTGCATGGGAATGCCATCTTCACTCGACAAAGAAAAAGCTCAATCGTTGTCTCGAACATCACGGGTTTCACGTTTGAGTTCATCTTCAATGTGTTGGCAGCTGGTCATCTAAGCCGAACGCCCTCCACGATGACCTGGCTTTTGCACGCGTGAAGACAAGCCACTTGCCGATGCTGCCGATGTAGCAATTGACGCGAACTTCCGCCGTCGAGGTCCTCGTCTGCGTCCTGCGATCACTCGGGCAAGCTTTTGCAGAAGACATCCACTCTGACCCTTTAGAGCGTCATGGAGCTCTTGTGCTCGTGGTTCGGTGATGCGCTACCCATATATATATATATATATATATATATATATATATATTCTCGCAGGTCTCATGGGGACTTCTGCGCAGCGCGGAAAGTGTGTCGCTTATGTATTGAAATTCGAAATATAGCTCAGGCGCAGTTCGCATGCATCTGTATCCACGTCGAATGAGTATTAACTGTTTCAACTGAGCGATGTGCTCGAGTCTGGTTTCTGTGTATAGCGGACTGCGCGGTATCGTGTTGATTCCAGCTTCGTTCACGATGCTGGTGAATTGCCTGTTCATCCCATCTATGTCCTGCTCCGCCTCTACCTGATAGAGAAAATCGTATTTTGCATTCGCAAGTATCTCCACCTCATCAATCAACTCATGTCGGCGATAGCCTTGCTGAAGACAACAGAACACGGCTTCCCGATTGGGCCGAGGGGCTCGCTCAGGTAGTGATCGGCGTGTCAGCTGGACCCGAACAGCTCGCTCCACCGGTCGGTGATACATGACTGCGTGCGTCTCATGTAGCTGCAGTGCTCGACCCGCTGCACACATGACGTGACAGTGCTCCATGATATGCACCAACTCCTGCGGCAGGATAGTGCGGTCGATGTAAGGCATTGAATTGGCGCCAACATAGGACGGCGGGTTGTAGAAGTACGTGTTGGCGGCTGGAAAGATCCCATCCTGCCAGGATAGGCCGCAGCGGCGTCGACGCCAGAGGTCCTCTTCCGAACGAATGCAGTCCTCCAACTGCATCTTCAGCGTGTCGCACAACCGCTCCGTTCATGTCAGCAAATATCATGGGCACCGTGCGGCGCCTGGACATGTCTCGCAGCGCTACGATGAGCCACTCGTTCGTATTGTCCGTTGTCGCCTCATAGACTGGCTTAAGTGACCGTGTCATCTGCCGCGGTGGATGATATTGACAGATGAATACAAATGACACTTCACTGGATTGACTTGTGATTGCTGCGCATCGTCACCACAACTGGCGCGGTGTGTCATGTACTCTCTTCAAGGCAGCCCTCGGGAAACGTTTCTTTTTGACCTCAAAAACAGATGCCACAAGATGGAGAAACGTACTGGCCGCGCTTGAGTTCAAACTCAACTGTCCAACGTTTCTGAACCAACCTCGTGTCATTGACCATTGTGCCGTGCGAGCGCGTCTGTGCGCCGATGAATGCATACACGTTCTTGTTCGGAATGCACGTGGTGAGGTCAAGCAATCTCAAAGCTAGACGCTGCACACGGATCGTAAGATACAGCGCGCAGCAGCCCAGACGATCCAGCCATCCAGTGGCCCAGCGGGCAGATCTGCCATCGCGGGCTCATGGCGAGGACGTCCGCGGCCCGCTGTTCCTTGGTGGGGCGGGGTTGCGCGTGGGCCTGGAGGAGGAGGAGAGGAGGAGGAGGAGGAGGAGGAGGAGGAGGAGGAGGAGGAGGAGGGAGGAGGAGGAGGAGGAAGAGGAGGAGGAGGAGGCGGAGGAGGAGGAGGAGGAGGAGGCGGAGGAGGCGGAGGAGGAGGAGGAGTAGGAACCATCGCCCCGACTTGAAACACAAGCTGTTGTTTCGGGGGGAAGCCCAGCAGGCCCCTCATCCTGCCGGGGGCCTCGGCCTGTCGAGGGCGCACCAGCAGCCCAGACCCTCACCCCAAGCTGCAGGTCGGGCATGCCCTCCTACAAGCGGATGTTGGACGAAACATGGAGAATAGTAGAAACATCTTCCCCAATGGCCAAAAAATCCGCCGGCCCCCTTGCGGGGCCACCAGGCTGTAGGCCGGGAGTGTGCTGCTCCCTGTGCCAGTTGCAGCTTCCAGTTTCCACTGTTGCAGTTCTGCTTCTTGCTGCTTGCTGTTCCTTGTTGATGAACGCGCGAGGGGGGGAGCCCAAACCAGCAGAACTACCACGCCTTGGGAGGGTTCTCAGAATTTCTGGGGGGGTATTCACACCTCTCACGCAGATCCGCAGGGTCAGGGTCCAAGAACACAAGGGATTTGCAATATCTTTTTAATTCGGTGGCACCCCTCACGCAGATCGGCGGGGTCAGGGTCCAAAAACACAAGGGATTTGCAACATTTCTGAACTTCAGTGGCACCCCTCACGCAGATCGGCGGGGTCAGGGTCAACAAACACAAGGGATTTGAAACATTTCTGAAATTCGGTGGCACCGCTCACGCAAATCGGCGGGGTCAGGGTCCAAAAACATAAGGGGATGTGTCACATTTCTGAAATTCGGTGGCACCCCTGACGCAGATCGGCGGGGTCAGGGTTCAAAAACATGATGGACCCACGAACCCGGAAAGGGATATAGACATGTGCAGCATGGTCACGTTTTCACGATATCCAACTGGGCGACACCTCACGAAACATCCCACGAGACACCCCGCGAAACATCCCAGGAGACACCTCACGAAACAACCCACGAGACACCTCACGAAACATTCCACGAGACACCCCGTGAAACATTCCACGAGACACCCCACGAACAGGCAACCACTCAACCAGACACCCCACGAAACATTCCACGGGGGTGCGACTGGTGGTCGTGCTGGGGCGACTGGCGTGGAGGTGTGATGTGGTGGTCGTGCTGGGGTGTGGTCGTGCTGGGGTGTGGTGCTGTGGGGTGGTCGTGCGTGGTCGTGCTGGGGTGTGGTCGTGCTGGGGGGCGTGGTCGTGCTGGGGCGTGGTCGTGCTGGGGCGTGGTCGTGCTGGGGTGTGGTCGTGCTGTGGTGAGGTCGTGCTGGGGTGTGGTCGTGCTGGGGTGTGGTCTTGCTGGGGTAGGGTCGTGCTGGGGTCGGGTCGTGCTGGGGTGTGGTCGTGCTGGGGTGTGGTCGTGCTGGGGTGGGGTCGTGCTGGGTGGGGTCGTGCTGGGGTGTGGTCGTGCTGGGGTGTGGTCGTGCTGGGGTGGTCCGGGTGTCGATCGGGTCGTGCTGGGGCGTGGTCGTGCTGGGGTGTGGTCGTGCTGGGGTGTGGTCGTGCTGGGGTGTGGTCGTGCTGGGGTGTGGTCGTGTGTGGTCGTGCTGGGGCGTGGTCGTGCTGGGGCGTGGTCGTGCTGGGGTGTGGTCGTGCTGGGATGTGGTCGTGCTGAGGTGGCCCGCACCCTGTGATTTATCGATCGGGATTTCAAAAACAAGCGTTTCGCCTGAGACATCCTCAAATTTTAATCCGCCGGCCTCCTTCGACCTCGATATGTATCAGGGAAAGAATCCGACGGCCTCCTTCAAGTTGGCACGGGGGGATATGTTTACATACTAAAAGAGAACCCTGGGCCTACGCCCTTTCCGGGAACAAAAGGGATTTGCCACATTTCTGAAATCCGGTGGCACCCCTCACACAGATCGGCGGGGTCAGGATCCAAAATGAGAAGGGATGTGCTACATTTCTGAAATTCGGCGGCACCCCTGACGCAGATCGGCGGGGTCAGGGTCCAACATGATGGACCCACGAACCCGGAAAGGGATATAGACATGCGCAGCATGGTCACGTTTTCACGATACCCAACTGGGCGACACCTCACAAAACATCCCACGAGACACCCCGCGAAACATCCCACGAGACACCTCGCGAAACATTCCACGAGACACCTCGCGAAACGTTCCACGAGACACCCCGCGAAACATTCCACGAGACACCCCACGAAACATTCCACGAGACACCCCACGAAACATTCCACGAGACACCCCACGAAACATTCCACGGGGGTGCGACTGGGTGTGGTCGTGCTGGGGTGTGGTCTTGCTGGGGTGTGGTCGTGCTGGGGGGGTGGTCGTGCTGGGGGGTGGTCGTGCTGGGGCGTGGTCGTGCTGGGGCGTGGTCGTGCTGGGGCGTGGTCGTGCTGGGGTGTGGTCGTGCTGTGGT